TGTCACGGTTGGCAACCCAGACAACAGTTCTAACTGGGATCTTCTTGTACCAAATTCCAAGATAACGATTTCTCGAGCTACCTGGGCTAAAGAAACCTAGTTCAAAGCTTCCATCTCTGGAAACCAAGGTCCTACCATAAGGAAGCGACTGAAACTGGGCAAGAGTGTCAGTTGCATATGAAAATCGGGTACAGAATATAAAGAGATTTGTAAGAGCAAGCACATAATGAAGAATGGCCATTGCTCAAATGAAATGGTTTCACAAGTTAAAGATATATATCCTTGAAGTTGCCGCAGTAACAAGGGAACCAGAAGCATACAGATTAAGCAATCAACTCTTCCAAACCACAAAAGTCAAGTGACGGAGAAACGTTTGTTTGCATGCATTGACTTCATTATCTGCGTCAAGGATGGCTCTGCTAATTCAGGGATGGCACAAGATAGTTGGAATTCATCGTTCAAAATGTAAATATGAACTATCCTCGTTATTGTCATCTATAATAAAATAGGTTCGACTTCCTATTTCTACAGAACTAAATTAAAAAAATCATATGATTAATGAAAATCCAGGAATTTTTTCTGACACTCAATTGAATCGTCTGCCATCACGTGGTTCTCTGCTTCCCTATGCAGAAGAAAACTAAGTTTTCAACCATAAATGAAAGATAATTTTGTTCCTTAAGATATAATTGTATGAAATTGACCCATTTCTACCACAAACCTAAATTATATTTCAACTGAAGCCAGATCATATATGAAGGGAAAATTTTTCAGCAGTAAATAGTCATGCTGCAAGTCAAAAGATTTCACGGGAAGTGTCTGTTTCCTACTACAACCCCTAGAGTAATTTTAAGGGTAAAAATTTTAGTCCACAAACAGAGGGGCAACAAGGTAGAGATCCGCATGCCACTAAGTTTTCCTTTGATCTTTTGTTCAATCTGACTGAGCTTTTCTTGGCGAATCATTGTGAACCAAAATTGCAGTCGAAGTAGTCAGGATTAGATCCTGGCCAGTTCACTCAGGACTTCCTCTAACCACAATTTAGACCACTCTATAAGTTTTAAAATAATAATAATAACAATAATCTGAGTTCTCGTTGAAGGATTCCCTCTGACCATAATTTCGACCACTTTATAAGGTCAGGTCTCAATCTGAATGTTCAGGCCTTCTTTCTGACATTCGACAATATGATTATCATTATATGTCACCAACTAGTTCTCTGCTTTGCCCTATGCAAAGGAAACTAACTCTTCAATGATAAAGAAAAGTGATAACTTTATTATTTAAGACATAATATTATGACGTTGAGACATATGTACTAGACACTTCAATTTTATTCCAATTGAAACTAGATCATATGTGAACAGAAAAATTTTGAGAAGCGAATTAGTCATGCTCTAAGTCAGTAGTTTTCCCAGGAAATGCCTGTTTCCTACGCCTTTTCTTAGGACTGATATTTAGAGTAAAATTCTTAGTCCAGAAACAGGAGGGTTACCCGATAGATACATATCTCAATCGTAATTTTTCCTTTGCTGTTCCTTTCAACCTCATTGAGTTTTTCTTTGCCATTAATTTCTGAACCAGTTGCAGTTGGGATATTCAAGACTGAATATTTACCAGATCAGATTAAAAGGGTTCGAGCCTTAAGGCTTAAACCAGAAGCACAACTCAATCATCAAACTAAAATTCGGAATTGATCGAATAAAGAAAATTCACAAAGAATTTAGAACCCCAAATTTACACTTGAAGGTTGACCAACACAACAGTATTAGGCCCAAAAGAATAATTCAATTGATCTGATGATATACATAACAGTGTCATTCGAGTTACTTTCCTTTCGTTTTCGTCACAACTATATGAAAAATCTGCCAAACATGACAAATTCATAACTCAACATAAAAAGAAAAAAATCAGAAGAAATCCTTAAGTTCTTGTTGAAGGACTTCCTCTAACCACAATTTAGAACCCTCCATAAGCTCAGGGCTCAACCTGAACATCAGGACGCAAAATTCCAGCTGACTCAGAGCGCCATCACCATCAAAATCGCCTTCCTGTAACATAGAATGAAGATCCTCATCGCTCAAACCATGTAGCCCCAGCAAAGCGGAATTCCTCTTAAGGCTCTCGAAAGTGATCACCCCTTTATCAGCATCCTTCAACAGATTAAACCCATTGCAAAGCTCGTCAATTAAGCCATCCCCACCAAGCTTTCCGGCCATGATAGGCAGAGAATCTTGGAAATGAGTCTGAGGGTTTTGTGAAGCCATTGAAGAAGAATCAAAGAGAAGAGAGATTAAGTCAAATAGAATACTCAGAGAAATAAGCGATGATAGAACTGAAGGAGGAGATGCATATAAAGAGGAAGAAGGAGGGGGATTGGGTTTTCCAAGAAGGAGGGGAGACAAAGAAGACAGCTAAGCTACAGGTCACGAAGAAGGAAGGTCGGTCGCGCCATGGACTTCGCGGAAGGTCGCCCAAGGGTAAAATGGTCCAATCAAGGAAATGAGAGGCTTACTTTGTCTTTGTTTATAAGGAAGTTTCTAGTAGTACAAACTTTTACAGGTTTCCTTCTTCACGTTTCTCACAGTGGGGACCGCTATGGACTCATTCAGTGTTGACTGATTCTCATGCGTGTTTTCCTCTGTGCCAATGGCGAACCTAAAAAGGGTTTTGGATTTCATTCACCAACCAAAATTCAGAACCGGATTTGATTGCTAATGATGTTTCTGGATTTAATTCCCTTCTAATTCGTTATCATTAAGGTTCAGGGAGGTGAGCTGGTTGCCAAGAGGCATTTTTTAGGCCCCACAAAGAAAATTATCGAGAAGGACCACTGACATTTTGAAATCATGAAATCTGGGTTAAGGTTTTGGTGGGGAATAACAATTTTGGAGCTTAAATTGTCCCCCCCCCCCCCACTTTTTTTTTTTAATTTCACTTCACAAAAGAAAGTGAGTACATGATCAATTAGGCTTCCAGAATGACAGTATTCAATACTTTCATATTTTAGGAAACTAAATATGAAAACTAAAATTAAATGAGTCTAACCGACGTCCAGTTTTTTTTTTTTTTTGGAATCTTTTTATCAATAATTGATTAATTCAGATGGAGCTTTGCAATCATGATCCCTCTCTTCATAAGTCTTTATTATTAACAAGGGAAAATTCAAACTTAGCTTGTCTGTTTTGTTATATAATTGGTACCTTAAATATTATACCTATTTACATTAGAAAGTGGATTTTATATTTTCAGATGATATTGTATAGTTATATTATAAAGTCGAGGTAGCATTCCTTGACCCCAAACAAGCATAATTTCTACTTTTCCTAAAGTGCTTTGGTCTCCATAACAAATTCTTCCACGTCTTAAAGGATATGGTTGAGGAAATTTCATTGCGTATGCGTTGTGGAGAGGAAGAATTTGCACAAAGAACATCACTTTCAACGCAGTAGCTATAGATGAACCTTGACTTCTCATGCAATGCATCCATCCATCTACCCCAGACTAATCCATCAGTTCCAATGGCATTCATTCTTCATCAACATTTGAACCCTGAACATAGTGGTCCAATTGTCAATGTCCCAGCATGGAGACTATAAATTCTGCTAACTAATGAAATGCATAATTCTCACTATTTAAATCATTTGATATGTTATTACCCAAAAAAAAAAAAAGTCATAGGCCTGCTTTGACTTTGGTAACCTTAAAATTACTTTAGTTGTTAACATATATACAGCTCAAAGAAATGTCTACAAATTATGTGCCCATAAGATTCTCATAACATCACTTACAAGTACTTTAACCAAATCGTTACCCATTGAATTAATTGATAATGTCCTTAACTCTTTACGTATTATTAAAAAGTTACAACAAGAATATTATCCATATAAACACAAACACATACTACCTTCGATCTTAATTATAAGAGTCAATTGACTAATTTGAGAAGATTAAGAAAGTAAGTTGAATTAATTATTTGGCTTAAATAGGTGTTGTCTTTCCTAAAATATCCTTGCTAATTAAATTTATTGACTCGAATTATCATTATTAGAAGGATTATTTTGGAAAAAAAATATATAAATATGAGAGACAAAGTAAATTTGGATCTTATATTTAGGACTAAAATAAAAGTTAAACAGAGTCTTATATTAAAGACCGGAGGTAGCACTTTTTTTTTGGGTCAAAATCACATATGCATACTCTACACATGCTCCTTGTTTTTCTTTTTTCTTTTTTTGTGAAATTGTAAGGAAATTCTTTTTTATAGAGACAGAATTCCTCACAATAATTTGCTTGTGCACAGAACCAAAATCCTTCACCCGTTACTTCTTAAATTCATTGAGATTCTTTATATTTAAAAGATAACCACACACCCCGCACATGAAATAGTACATACTAAATACTATGCAATAACAATAACAAGCTTATCTCATTCAGCATTCTTCTCAATCTTTCTCTGTCTTTTTTTTAAAAATGACTACTAATGTTTTTAAATTTAGATTTTTTTTAAATTTTAGATTAAATTCAAATTATAGTTTCCAACATAAAACAAATTAGATTGAGACGAAAGTAAGAAGTTTAAAAAATAAATTTTACTAGGTTATATTTTAAGTAGCAGTGAATATAGCTTCTAAAGTATTTTGCTCATATTTAACCTTTTTTTTTTGGGACCTGGTACGTCATATTTAACTTGAAGAATAGTTATGTATGTCTTTACAATAAAAGCAGAAAAATATGCGGATTAGATATTCCTGGAGAAAAATAAGACTGATTTAATTTTTTTATAGCTTTCATTAAAATCCGTATTAACAAAAACACATCAAAATTTCCAAATTGCATGTCTCTCCGCATTCTTTGAGGCTAATGAAAGGGACCCAGACATTTCTGCCAACTTTTTACCATATGAATACAAAAATCCTATATGAATGTATAACCCCAAAAAAAAAAAACACTAATTATCCTTGTCACTGAAATAATCCAATTTTAAAAATCATCTTGTATCTCTAATACTTAAAAAAATAAAAATCCATATAACAGGTATTCCAACAAGCGGTAAGAACATTGAAGCTGGATGGAATTTCTTGTGCCATTCTCTGAATCATCTTCCCCCCAGCATGCTTTGAGAAATTTCGTTTTGTGAGAATTGCGTACATCTTTGGTCAAAAGAAGTTGGATCAGGAGAAACATCACTCGTAGTGTAAAAACCAGGGGCTTTTGGCTGTGGCAACAATTTCTCACCATTTAACATTAGAACTACAACTGACATATCAGGCCTATCTTCAGCTCTTTGTTGCACACATAATAGTCCTACTTGTATACATCTTATGACTTCACATTCAATGCAATTTTCCTTTAGACATTCATCCAATAGCTCCAATGTTCTTCCTTGGATCCACAGTCTCCATGCCTAATATCATAGTAAGACCAAAAAAGGAAAAGGTTATTTCCACTTCTATGTTGGGAGAAATTCTTCATGTGGGTAATATGTAATGTTTTTGTGCAGCGAACCAGTGATCCTTCACCAACATCAGTGTTTTAGGTTATGGGGCCTATTCACAAATATTTGTGAGTACTTACTAAATCCTTATAAAACTAGCTAATGCAAAAACTCATAAGGCAGTCAGAATGATGAGTGGGAAACTTTATGCTTTGCCTGTTAAGCTACTGAGAAGTTCTTAAAACACTTGTGAGATATCGGCCAGCTATGCAGAAAGTAGATAAATGCTTATCAACAAGGGTGATTTAGGTGGTGAGATCCATTCAAACTCATTTTCATGGCTTCCTCAGTTCCTCTTGACTCCTGACTTTGCCAACTATCTAAAGTGGTACTTTGAATTAGGTAGTATACTTACATGTCCAAGAAGATTAAGGTAGTATTCTGGGTTTGAAAAGCCTCTGTTCTTCTTCCCACTAACAATTTCTAAAATTATCACACCAAAGCTAAAGACATCGGATTTCGTTGAAAATTGCCCATGCATGGCATATTCAGCAGGTATATATCCACTGAAAGTATAATTTGTGAAGTAAAATAAGTGAGAAAATGAGATTCTACAAAAAGTGATGAATAAACTAAAGATAAGACAACTTACTATGTTCCAACAATTTTGTTAGTGTTGGCCTCAACCTGATCATCCCAAAATGTGCGAGCTAGGCCAAAGTCAGATATTTTTGGATTCATAGAAGTATCTAGCAAAATATTGCTAGTTTTAAGGTCTCTATGAATAATTCTTAATCTGGAATCTATATGAAGATAGACAAGTCCTCGAGCAATTCCATGAATAATATGCCAACGCTTAAGCCAATCCAGCAACTTGCTACGAACTTCATCTGGACATCCAAAACATGTTAGGATGCTATTGGCAATCTCAACAACTATGAAATTTGGCAAAAGTCAAAGTTTCAAACCAAAAATAAAGTGGTCTAAGCTCTTGTTTGGCATATATTCATAAATCAACAATTTCTCTTTCCCCTCAATGCAACAACCAAGAAGCTTCACAAGATTACGGTGCTGAAGTTTTGCTATTAACACGACTTCATTTTTCAACTCTTCTAGCCCTTGACCAGATTTTGTTGATAGCCTTTTTACAGCTAGCTCTTGCCCATCTTGTAGAATACCCTGAAATTCATATTTAGGAGTTCTTGAAATTGTTACAGAGATTATTAAAATGATTGTTTGGATATGGTTATTGTACCTTGTATACTGGTCCAAAGCCACCTTACAAAGTTATTGATTTGTTGAATTTATTGTTTATTCAAGTATTTATTTCTTTATAATTGTTATAAGATACCTTTACTTTAACTAAAAAAATTTTCACCAAAGTATCACTATTTGGGCTTGGAAGCCCGCCCTGCCCAGCCCGTTATTGCCCAGTCCGAAAATGGTTAGGGCTTCTATGGGCAGGGCAGGGCAGCGGGCCGCAAAATGCAGCCCGCTCATTTTTCGGGCTGGGCAGAGGGCAGAGGGCATGCCCTGCCCAGCCCTGCCCATGAACACCCCTAGACTAAATGACCCAAATGAAGTCTGGGAAACATAAGTTAACGCTTGAATCATGCATTTGGATTAGCAGTTAAAAAAAAAACTTATTTTTAATCTGACTTTTAGAAAAGTCATATTAAATACTACCTCCGGTCCTTAATATAAGACCCTATTTGACTTTTTGTTTGGTCCTAATTATAAGACTCCAATCCATTTTGTCTCTCATATTTATGCATTTTTTTCCAAAATAGTCCTTCTAATAATGATAGTTCTAGTCAATACACTTAATTAACAAGGATATTTTAGGAATGACAACACTTATTTATTACAAATAACTAACTTAACTTACTTCCTTAATCTCTTCAAATAAGTCAACTGGGTCTTATAATTAGGACCGGAGGTAGTAAAAATTAGATTGGGTAATATAATTTATGTTTGAATTGACTTTTGTAAAAATTAATTTATAAAGTTGAAAAGTTGTTTAGATTATGATTAAATAAGTAAATTTAGTTTATAGAATGACCAAAATAGATATGAATTTTATTAAATAATAAAAAAGATTAAAAATATGAATCTATAAAATATAATAATTTTAAATTATTATAATATGAAAAATTTATATTTAATGAATAAAATATATTTAAATTAGAAATCATAACAATGTGAAAATTTTTTAACCGAATAATATTACATAATTAATTAAATGATATACTCTGCATAATTTATGTAAATAAAAAATAAAGAAAGATTAAAAATTAAAATATTATAAAAACTGTTAAAATTATTTTTAGTTAAGAGCATATTAAAAATAAATAACTAAAAACTAATTGAAAAGCAAAAAAATATATATATAGAGAAAAGCATAAGAATAAGATAAACATAAGGGCAAAAATATCTTTTAATTTTAAAAAGCTACTTTTGTATAGGTCATAAATAAGTTTTAGGTCATAAATAAGTTTTAGGTGATTTTACAATTGTACTTCAAAAAACAGTTTTTGACCTCTAAGTCAGATTGATCAAAAACTGTGACAGACAGCTCTCAAATTTACAAATTCTTATAAATTACTTTTTTCTCTCCCAAACGTCTTACCAAACAAGCTGATAATCAAACACAAATTGCAGAGACCACGGGAGGACAAGATTGATGTATTAACTTAATTGATGTTTAATTAGAAAAGTCGGATCTTAGAATGATCCGGACAATATAAATCAAGTGCCTAGACCAAACGGAATACAAAATTGGAAAAACTGCCCCAAAAAATAAAAAGGAATTTGTTGTACGATTTATTGGCTAAAAACATCTAAGAGCCAATGTCCTTGAATGGATACAATTTTTCTTTAACTATTTGTAAAATATGTTCAACTATACATAAATGTATTTTATTTTTCCACTTTCAATTTAATCATATAAATCCTGTTGCTTGTATATCGTTTGACTCTGAATAGTTTATTTTGCAATGAATATTATCCATTTCATTCAAAAAATATATTTTATTTTGCACATAATTAAATATAAGTAATACATAACTTTAAAATAGCCTACTTATTGAAGACAAATTGCACAGAAGTACTTAATTAAATAAATTTCAAGTATTTTTGGGTAATAAATTTTGTAATGAGAAATTTTTCAATAAATTTTCTAAAAAAATTTGCTGCAAGCCTCATTAAGTTTAAGCGACAAAAACATTGTGTGAAACATAAATTACTGCCCGTACAATTCATCCCCACATATAACGGAGTTTTCCATTTACCTATTCATTGGAATATATTGTTCTTATGCCTCTGTTTGAAATACAGTAATTTTCTTTTTTGCCAACAAGATATAATAAGGTTAAAACTAAAGAATCCTAACTAATTTAACGTCACATTACAACTGGGACACACACTCCATATGAAATAACAAACCTAAGATTAAAAAGTGGTAAGAACACTGAAGTTGGGTGGTATTTTCTTCTCTGGAATCTGAATCACCTTCCGTCTAGCATTTGAGAAATTTCATTTTGTGAGAACTGTGTGAATATTTGGTGTAATGAACTTGAACCAACGAGGACATCACTTGCAGTGTAAAAACCAGGAACTTTTGGTTGTGGCAACAATTTCTCACCATTTAACATAAGAATTACAGTTGACATATCTGGCCTATCTTCAGCTCTTTGTTGCACACATAATAGTCCTACCTGTACACATCTTACGACTTCAAATTGACTACAACTTTCCTTTAAACATTCATCCAGTAGCTCCAATGGTCTTCCTTGGATCCACAGTCTCCATGCCTAACATCATAGTAATACCAAAAAAAAGTAAACTTCTATCTCAAATTTTATGCTGGGAGAAATTCATAATACTTTTAATATGCCATGTTTCGTGCAATGAGCCAATGATCCTTCACCAAGATAAGTGTTTTAGGTGATGGGCCTATTCACAGATATTTGGGGTGAGTTCTTATTAAATCTACAAAGACTTCTAGTGAAATGAGAATAATGAGTAGGAAACTGTACTTTGCTTATAAAAGCTATTGAGAAATTCTCAAAACATTAGTCAAATACAAATCAGATAGAGAGAAGGTAGATAATGCTGGCCAACATGGGTGACTCATGTGGGAAGATTCATCCACACAGTCGGTTTTCATGAGTTCCTACTGGCTCCTTACTTTGCCAACTAGTTAAAGAAGTGCGTTGAATTAAGAAGTATACTTACATGTCCAAGAAGATTGAGATAAGGGTGAGAAAACTCTCTATTCTTCTTTCCACTAATAATTTCTAGTACTATTACACCAAAGCTAAAGACATCTGATTTCATTGAAAATTGTCCACGCACAGCATATTCAGGAGGCATATATCCACTGGAAGTATGATTTGTGAAGTAAAATAAGTGAGAAAATGAGATCCTACGGAAAGGGATAAATAATTTGAAGGTAAAACAATTTACTATGTTCCAACAACTTTGTTAGTATTGGCGACCACTTGATCATCCCAAAATATGCGAGCAAGGCCAAAGTCAGATATTTTTGGATTCATGTAAGCATCTAGAAGAATATTGCTGGTTTTAAAATCTCTATGAATAATTCTTAATCTGGAATCTATATGAAGATATACAAGTCCTCGAGCAATGCCATGAATGATATGCCAACGCTTAAGCCAGTCCAACAAGTTGCTACAACTTTCATCTGGAGATCAAAGACATGTTAGAATACTACTTACAGTCTCCACAACTTGGAAATTTGACAAAGGCTTAGAGTTTCCAACCAAAAATAAAGTGATCCAAGCTCTTGTTTGGCATATACTCGTAAATCAGCAACTTTTCTTCTCCTTCAATGCAGCAACCAAGAAGCTTCACAAGATTACGGTGTTGAAGTTTTGCTATCAATAGAACTTCATTTTTCAACTCTTCCAACCCCTGATCAGATTTTGTGGACAACCTTTTCACAGCTAATTCTTGGCCATCTTCTAGAATACCCTAAAAATCATATTTCATAGCCTTTGAAATTCTTATAAATATAATATAAAATCTTTGTTTGGATATGATTATAGTACCTTGTATACAGGCCCAAAGCCACCTTCACCCAATTTGTTAACGGTAGAAAAATTATCAGTGGCCTTCATTATGACTGACAAATCAAATGTTGGAAGATCCATGCCCTCCTCCACTAGATTGTTGTTGATCATGACAATATTCAGAGTTTTAGAACAGTGACAAAACATATTCATTTGAAAAGTTAAGCATTTACCCGAATCTTGAAGTCTCCTTTTCCTTGCAATTAAAGTCAATCCAAAAATCATAAAACTTGATACGAATATTGCACAGCCAACCACAATTGCCGCTATCTCCTTCTTGCCAATGCTTCCATGGCCTTCATCCCGAAAATGATCTGATACTAACGGACTGTGAGAAATCATCAACTCCAAGTAAAACGTCTCAATCAAAGGCATCAACTAATATAGAATTGTGACAAGAGATGCTCCCAATTGGTTAAAAAAAGGAATATATATTTACAGAATAGTACATTTTCTCATTTATTTAAGCACTCTTTCATAGAGAGAACTGGATATCAATTCAGGAAACACAATAGCATAACAATTAGAAGCACCACAATCCAACCACAATTTACGTATAAACTCATAGTAAACTGATCAGAAACCAGAGACGGGAAAAGTAAAGGATATGCTGTAAACAAGACAACAAAAGTACCTAGCTCTGAAGCAGGAACTCGTACATAGAGGTCTTGTCCACCGTCAAGAAATTGTCTCATGTCAACTAGTTGATCAAGCCATATCAAGCAGCCACTTCCTTCACCTCGAACATCCAAACTTGCATATGCTGTACAAGAACAGTTTTGCAGACATGTTCTCTTGCATTCCTCAAGGGCCATGGTCATGTTATACCATGAAGATGACGTGTCTGGCAGCTTAACGCCTGTATACTGCTTAAATCCATCGCTAGCATCACAATTCAAAGAAACCCTTTTAGTGCAGCCACTGTTCCAATCAGACCCATTCCATTCCTTAAAATTCTTGGGTTCATACCCTCTCAGGCATTTGCAAACAGGATTGCTATTGATGTCGCAGATAGAATTTGCACCACATAAGGCATAATTGTCACACGAGTCAGGAAGAGCAGTGTTCATCACCCGCCAGCTGCTTGTTTGAATTACCCAATCAAAACGCTGCCCTATGCCTGAAGGGGTCATTATATATCTAGAGAAAATTGAATTATTTATAAGACTACTCTTGTAATATGCCTCTTTTTCATTCAACACAAAGTCCAGTTTTTCAACTGGATCCGGACTATGTTTTGAATATCCCGTGAAAGAGACGCCATTCCATGACCCTGCTCTAACTATCACCTTGGAACCACTCAGTTGAAAGATTTGTGGGTACCCTCTACGGTCTAGTTTCATTACGTAGTCTCCCTGACCTGGATCATCTGAACTTTTCCAAGATGACAGAAATTTATCCAAACCCGTTTCTTCATCCCACCCAAGCTTCATTCCCGGCATTAAGGTGTCACAAGGGTGGTCAAAACTCTGCCATAAGAGTTGGTCAAAGTCACCACTGTCACCACCACCATATCCATTTTTCACCACGAGATTTCCCGAATCCAAGAGTTGAGCAAAAGTATTATATGCTCTGATTGATGAATGATTGGAGTACCACACGGTGTTGTTGTTTGTGGCATCAAGAAGGAGGAGAACTCCTCGATCATTTAACCGTAAGACACCCTTACCCCTATCGTTGTTGAGAGGTTTGTCTCGGTTGGCCACCCAGAAGATTGTAGACGGAGACTTCTTATAACATATCCCTAAATACCGGGCGTTTGCAGACCCAGGGCGGAAGAATCCAAATTCAAAATCCCCATTTGAGGAAACTAAAGTCTCGCCCTCTCTAATCAAGTTTCCGGGAGTGATGCTGTCTTGTGAAGTGAGCGGTTTTATAAAGCATAGCAGCAAGAAGTACAGATACATCACTCTGAAACTCTCCATCATTTTGCATATCGAGACCTTGCATCACCCACCCAGATGCCAGGCCACAAGAGTCAGGGGTATTTAATATCTCGGAAGCTTTTGTGAAGTCAGATGTAACGGTATGAATTTTCAATTTTCCCTTGTCCCGTGTTTTTGACCACTTCGACCAAGTGTGCAAGTTTGACATTATGATTATGCTTGGGGAGAACCACGAAACGAACATCTTAGGCGATTTCTTTTAGTCTACGCCATAACCACTGGTAAATTAGGACAGGATAGTTGCAGAGGTCCGCACAAAAAATAAAATAATCGTATTGTTTTATATGCATGTATAGACCAGAAACTCATACAACAAATATAAAATAGTGACAAGTATATAAAATAAAATATAAAAGGTTCTGACTTTACAATTCATCCCCACACACAGAAGAGCTTACAATTTAGTCATTCATATTCTTTCTATTAATTTAACCCCCCATTCGTTGAAATGTTTTCATCATTCGGTCTTCCGCCTCTATCTAATACTTTTTCCAATGCAAATTATAAACTAAATTTTATTCATATATGTTTATCAAAAAATTAGTTAAAATCAGTTTAAAATAATAAATATGTAAAGCATTTTTTTTTCAAATATGCTCTTACTAATAAAGAAAATAAATAAAAGATACACCAAGTGAATCAAAGAGGAAAGAGAATATATAGAATAAAATTGACACAAAAAAAAAAACTCATTAAATACTTAAACAAAAGTAAATATCATCTTATAAAAAAAATCAAACCCCCTTAATAAAATTTAATTCATATTTTGTACTGGAAGGAGCATATGATAAAATTAAAGGTGTGTTTAATACATAATTCACACCGACTCCCACCTCAAATCACATCTGCGACCCATTCAATCCCCCATCAGAGGAGAAGAATAGTGTCAGGAAGTTCAAAAGCGCCATAATCAATACTCCCTCCGTTCCTTATTATAAGAGACATTTAATGCTTATAGCATGTTCCAAAATATAAGAGACATTTAAAAGTTGTCTCTACTTTTTTGTGTTGATTTTCTATTTTACCCATATTTATTGTCTCCAACTCACACTCTCTCTCCTTCCCATTTCTCTTTCTTTTAAGAATTTACTATTGTTCTCTCTCATGCTCTCTCTCCTTATTAATGAGGGCATTTTTGGAAAAAAAATTATACTTTTTACACATTAATTGTTCTTAACTAATTTTAACTGTTTTTTTTATCAACGTAATTCAGTTATTCGTCTCTTATAATAAGGAACGGAGGGAGTAGATTGTATGAGTGCCAAGTGTGACTAAACATTCCACTAGGTTTCCCTTGATTTACAGACCAAAATAGGATGGAAAAACAACCCCAAGTATTCTAACAAATGCTAGTAGCGGGTGAGATCGAGGGAATGCTCCTACCTACAAAGCTCTTGAAACAAGGAAAAACCGGAGAGCTTTTTATTCGCCCCAATATCCTCAATGTCTTCAGTAGCAATTTGCAGTTAATCAGCAATTACAATCAAGCCTCGGCAGATGCATTTTTATCATAATATTAGCAAAAGATCGAGATAATCCTCACAATAGGGGGAAGTTCTTTACACTCGTTGAGAAAACTTTTAAAATAAGATATTCTCACATGATTGCATCTCGACACTACTTCTGACGTGTGGCCTCCCCAAAACATCCGCCAGCTCAAAGGATGTGTATTAAAATCATATATTGTGAAATACGTCGATAATGAAACAGCCCCAGGCGCTTGCATCCGCAGGCAGATACAGAGTAAAACTGAATCTAGAATTATCAAAAATTTCTACCAGGAAGAACTCTGTCATTGTCTTTTAAGTGCATCCATCTTCTCCCTAAGGTAGTAGAGTTTGGCCCTCCTCACTCTCTTCTTCTCAAGAACCTTTATCTCCTTTATGTTTGGTGAATACCTACCAAACATTGCAGAGGTTAATGAAAACCAAATACCACTTTATCCGCACATCATAGCTTATCTACGGGCACATCCATCAAAAAGATGAGTAGTACTCACAGTGGGAAGAGAGATTCAATACCAACCCCAGCCACTAGCCTCCTGATTCTAAATGTAGTATTAAGACCGGCATTTCGCCTTGCGATCACGATGCCTTTTATGATTGAAACACGGCGCTTGTTCTCAGGAACTTCCTGTTGTCTCAGTTTATAAGGAAAATATCCAGTTAATATGTTGAACAGGACCCAGACATAGCAATAGTACTATATATCGTCAGGACAAAATCCCATACCACTTTGAGTTGCACTATGTAACCTGGTTGTATATCTGGTATCTCCCTCTGTGTTCTGACTTCCTCTACTGCTTCCTTATCTATAATCTACATGGCAAGATACCAACAATCTTTACAATGATAAAAAATAAAATACACTAATTTAAAAGGAAAAGAGTAGTCATATGCCTGCATAATGTGCTTAGCAGTTTTATCCAATCTTTTAAATTTAATGCGAGGAGGCACGTCAGAGACAGGAGCAGAACTGTCTTGAGAAGACTCAACGGAGTTTATCTGGGTTGACATAAATCTGGAAGAAAAATGAGGTGCAAACGCAGCAGCTTGGTGAAACAAACTCGATCTAGAATCTCCGAGTATTGTTGCTAAGCCATATCTGGACTCAATTCTTGAGAGGGTCACAGTCTGGGCGAATATCCTTGTCTGATGAAAATTTGAAGGCAGCAGATATCCATTAATCAGAGTTTAAAATCTGAGGTCCCACTATTTCAAATAACTGGCCATTAATGTTAATAACATAGCACTCAAAATGACTCTAATTGCTTATTTCCTATTTAATTTGGTCATTCAATCAAGCACATATAACATGAACTAAACAACAGTTCATGCATATATAATATTAAGAAACTTTGTGGGAAACCGAAAGCAGTGCAAAATTGTTGGATGACGAGAAACCTTTAGGCCAAAAGCAAAGAAAGAACTTGAAACAGAATAAAGCAAGCAAAGGCTCTGTAAAACTAACTGTACATGAGGTTTGACTATCAAAATTGTGGTATCACTCACCAAGACCATAAAAGAAGACAAAATACAATATCGACATTAAAATCAATCAATTAAGAAGCTTATAGTCACAAAACAACAATGTAATTCAGGACCAGATTTTCTGCTGCTCTTCAAGAGCAGTTCAATGTGATACTATTATCTTTATAGCCGCTAGGTGCATCCAGTAGAACCATTTAAGCCATGTCCTTTCATGCATAAAAATGCTCAGTTTAATACCCACTCACCATTCACAGAATCCAGAACATCATCAAGTTAAGCTGAAGTACTTGATATCAGCTTCAATACCGACACAAAGTTCACATAATGCGAACAATAAAGTGTAACTATTACGTAACTGTCCATGACTTCGTTCAAAAACAAAGCTTCTTGTGTTCAAATTTATTGGTATATCAGGTTATTATGATCATACAAAGTAACATATATCCCTTCGGAAAGCCCAGCAAAAATAGAACTCCTACATGCCTTCATTGTTGTAGTTACGTCCTCCTTATGCTTTCGCAAAGTGATAATCATTTCAGCCAGTTACACAAAACCCACCAAAAATGCGAGAAAAGCAAGGTAAAGAGGAGATAAAAGGGAATGCAATGCAACCCTCGCGTTGATTGTATCCAAGACCCATCATCTGGGGGGGGGGGGGAATAAGCTTTCAAATAATGCCGCAAAAAATCGATAGTGATTAATGGAAAACCACGGCATATACAGTATCCTCATCGCTGGAGACTGATGATGGCAATGATCAAGACGAGTACGAAGAATGTAAAACAGGGACAGTTTTCGACGACTGAGGAGAGCAAAATTTGGCTGAACAGGATGGATTAGATGCATATCATGACCATAAACTACAGAAACCAATAGCACTTACAGATTGCATCAAAGAAGAAAGAGCGAAGCAACAAGTCTAACTATGCATATCTGAGACACTAAAATACTTAATTATTCTTTTTTAACCAGTAAATATTTAATTATTCAGTAAACCAGAAATTCCAAATCATCATAGAAATGAAAATATCGCTGCTTTCCCCACATTTTACACAGCAGTAGCACCATCAGATCGCAATGAACACTGAACTTTCTTTGAGAATGAAATGGAGGCTTACACTGATAGAGAAACTACGAGAGTAAGCATCTGAGGAAAAGAATCGGATGTCCGAGCTCGTAACTTGAGACCCCAAAGGAGATCGACCAATGGATGATCGGAGCGATGACAGGAGCCTGCGTGAAGCCATTGCGAAGTCGAGATTATTTCGTCGCCCAGTGAGGATGAGAAAGAGAGGGGTTAGGGTTTAGAAGGCGCTCACGTGCACCGCACGAGTCCACGGCTTCCATTAAGGCATTAACCACTAACCAGTTTAAAAAATTTCCCTATTCTTTACTGCAAATGAAATATAATACACCTTTTAATTCTAAATATAACAACTAAATAATTTGCAGTTCAAAAAAAACTAAATAATTAATTTGTATATATTAAAAATTAGTTAAATACATTATTTGTAAAAATATATACTCCTCCGATCCTTAATATAAGACCCATTTAACTAATTTGATTAGATTAAAGAAATTAGGTAAGTTAGTTAATTATAAGAAATATGACACGTTTTTCCTAAAATACCATAATTATATTTCTTAATACCCCATCTTTCTCTTCTACTTGATTATGGTTGAAAGAGTATCCATAGGGGTAATTTAGAGATATTGATAAATATGAAAAATGGGTCTTATATTTAAGACCAAAACCAACTCACCAATTGGGTCCTATATTAAGGACCGGAGGAGTATTTGTTTTCTTAAAACATATCATTTAATTATTTGCATGGAAAATCATACTTTTAATTGAGCCATGTCAAATGAATAAAAATATTTTAAGAAAATTACAAATCTAAAAAAAATCATTTTGTAATTTTTTTTATTTTTTTTTAATTTGCTTAACAAAACCAGTTAATCCAGCCTGTTTGGATGAGCAGTTGTTGGCCCAAAAGTGACTTAAACTGACGACAGGCCCGTTTGGATAAGCTGATGGCAGTGTGGGAGAGCCTTTGGGTCATTTCACTTTAGGACCAAAAGTGAGATTGCATCGTGCGTTTTGATGGGGCTGATGGCATGAGCTTTTTGAAATCGAAATCATGCTGTGGGTGCGAGCGCCGAGAAGCAGCCTCTGGAAGAGTGCGGGGGTGACGCGCACATCCGCGTGTCAGGCTGTGTCTTCAAAAATATTATCTTCACTAGTGAGTAATTATTCTAGAAACCAACCAACATAATTCTGGTTAAAAAAAAAAAAGAAACCAACAAATACAATAGATTAAAAAATTTAACTTAATTATTTATAATAAATAAATACTGCTTTTTTAAAAAAATTTACTAATTAAATGTATTGGTTAGAATTATAATTATTACAATGACTAATTTAAAAAATAAATAAATTTAATCATGTTTTATTATTTATTAAAACTCATCTATTTTAGTAATTTTATAAAAAACTTACTTTTACTCAATCATAATCCAAACAATATTTTACCAATCTCACTTTTATAAACTAATTTTTTAAACTCCAATCCAAACACAATTCACTTTATCCAATTTAATTTTATCTAATCTTATTTTTTTAAAATCAGATTAGAAATAAGTTATTTTTTTCACTATTAGTCCAAACGGCCCAACATCGTGTACGGAACTCTAAAAATAAAAGTAATCAGATCCATACCTCGATAAAGATGGTCAATACCTTCATAAAAATAGTCACCCAGTCCCTGACAACATGCTCTCGGAGCTTCAGTGACTGGCCCCCGAAGAGGTCGCGGTCCTGAAGCTTCAGCCGCTGATTTCCAATCAGGGGTGCTTATGCGGCATTATTAAGAAAAAATTTAAAAAGAAAAAAGAAAAGAAAAAGTGTAAGGGGTAGTTTTGTCATTTATCTACTGAAACGTCAATTCTATCGTCCATTTGTCATTTGTCATTTACTTAGGGAGTGTTTGGATAAAAACAAAACCATGGTTTCAGAAGTGCTTTTACGGATTACAAAGTAAATATGTGGAGGAGGTTATCTCGTTTTGCGGAAAAGTGCTTCTGAAACCACGGTTTCAGAGCATCCAAACAGGCCCTTAGTAAAGGCCAATCTGACGCTGGTCCAAAAAACAAAAAATGGAAAAGCTAATCTGATGGTTCTTTGTCACCAAATTTGGAATCACGTCCCTCTGCGGGTTTTTTTTTTTTTTTTTCCATCCGGTATTTCAGGGCAATAGACATCTTTCAGTCGTGACAGCGGCCCCAAACTAATCCGGATCTAAGGCTTGTAAGGAACTTTTCGGTCGGGGCCCTCTGGCCTCTCAGGGTGTTGCGTTCCCACGGCTCGAACTCGAGACCCGTGATTAAGTTAGGACAGCTCCAGCTAGCTAACCTAACCCGTCGGGGTTAGTTTTTCTTTTTATTGAATCCTCATGGTTTACTCAGTTGAAAGTTTCAGTCCCTTTCTATTAAATGCTGGTACAAATTTGCGTTAGAATCATATTGAAGAGGCTGCACATGGGGTCGTGGATAAGTCATCTGACTAACTTTCTCTCTCCCGGAATACAAGCTAATCTCTCTCTCTCTCTCTCTCTCTCTCTCCCTGCAGAGTAAAAGCTCATGTCCGCGATATTTCTTCATCATCTTCTCCGTCTTGCAATTCCTAATAGCATCTCTGTGCAGTAAACTAAAAGCATGAGAATAAGCAATAATGTTATATGGTATGGTAGTGCCTTATTCCCTGGCTTTTTGATTAGGGGTAACCTTTGTGTGCTCACAGACTTCAAGTTGCGGGTTTTCAAATCAAATGATGTATTCCTAATATGTTATGTTACAGGCAATCATATATTAATAACAAAGTCGTTTATATCAGAGGGAGCAAAAGAGAGAGTAAAATGGAGAACATGGCAAAGAGAAATCAAAGAGGAGTTTTAGTGGCTGGTGAGAAGCATGCGAGAGGGTAGGAATTGCAAATGGAGGAGTCTCAGGAAAAGCAAACCAACACCAACGCGGAAACAATCCAGAGGCGATTGACGCGAAAGAAAGGAGCGAAACATGGAGAAAAGATTGAAAGAGAAGAGCATGGAGAGAGAGAAAGTGAGTCCAATCCACGGGTACAGCCTCTTCAATATGATCCTAACGGAAGTTTGGAGCATTTAGCAGAAGGCACTGAAACTTTCAACTGAATAAACCATGAGGATGTAATAAGGAAAAAAATAACTAGAAGAAGCTGATTCAAAATTTAATAATAAGCACTGCCAGATTAGTTTTCACTTGTACTTAACAGTATCGTCTTTTTGATATTGTGAAATTCAAATGGTATTTTAATGTTATTTTCACTAATTAATTTGTAGATATTAAACAATAATCAAATTAGTTATTTTAAATAAATGTGTGTGTTGACTGAAACAACTATCCTCGTTTATATTGAAAACTATCCTCGTTAATAATGAAAACTTCTTATTAGCATGAACAATAGAATAATTTGAAGAAAGAGTTTTAATTCTTTAAAACAAAATAAATTGATGTGTCATCTTTAAAATTAAAACAAACTTTTTATTTAACCTTTATATTTGACACAAATTTATTAAAACAAGGGTTAAGGTGCATCCAACATCCCAAACTATTTTTCTAGGTGTATTAAGTGTCTTAAAGTAATTTTTTGTGCATCCAGTGTCCCAAACTAATTAAAACGGTGCATCCAGTGTCCCAAACTAATTGAAATGGTACATCCATATCCCGGGCTAACAGAAAAGTTAAGTTTGACCGTTAGTTGACTAAAAAATCGGACGTAGCAGACATGTATAGGCGTCTAATGTGTATTATCTTAACAAGTTAAGGTGCACCCAGCACCCTGAACTATTTTTCCAGGTGCGTCCAGTGTCATAAAGTAATTTTTTGTGCATCCAATGTCCCAAACTAATTAAAACGGTGCATCCACATCCCAAGCTAACAGAAAAGTCTCGTTTGACCGTTACCCTGTTGATTCAGCTGAAGGTTGATCGAAAAATCCTACATGACGGATATGCAGGCGTCTGATGTGTATTATTTTGACTGAAAATTCAATTTATTTCCTCATCTTCTAACATTTATCTTCTGTCAATTTTTAAACTTAAAAAAAAGAAAGACCATCGATCCACCCTCTTAAATCCTGGTACATGTACCACCCATTCAATCACATCCTTGTCTTTAACATTTTATCCCATTTCTTCCACCACTCCGATTTGAAACCACAACCGCTGTCACAGCACACTTCCATCTTCATCTCTGTCGACTCCTCATCCAACTCGCATTTGTTTTTCTCCTCGTAGAACACAGTAGACTTCCCCTTAGTTACTCCATCGACATTGTCGTCGCCTTCTGAGAAAACACCCGCCGCCATCGGGTCGTCTCGAGAGCTTTAGTCAAAATAATACACATCAGACGCTTGCGTGTTCGTCATGTAGGATTTTTCAGGCAGCCTTTAGCTGAATCAGCAAAGTAATGGTCAAACAAGATTTTTCTGTTAGTCTAGGATGTGGACGCACCGTTTTAATTAGTTTGGGACACTGGATGCACCAAAAATTACTTTAGGATATTAGGCGCACCTAGAAAAATAGTTCAGGATGCTGGGCGCACCTTAACTCGTCAAAATAATACACATTAGACGCCTACGTGTCCGCCACGTCAGATTTTTCGGTCAATTAACGGTCAAACTTAACCCCGGGATATGGATGCACCATTTTAATTAGTTTGGAACATGTATATACCAAAAATTACTTTATAACACTGAGTGTACCTGGAAAAATAGTTCGGGGTGTTGAGTGCACTTTAACCCTTAAAACAATCAATTAATTAGCCAGTACCCATATATAAATCATAATAAGTGGCCAGAATTACTATTAAAAAAGCTAGTACGTAGGTAAACGAAATCAGATGTGCACGTGATTTGTCATTATTCCCAAGCACTGCTATCATTATTGGAACTTTGATTCATAACTCGTGTTAGGAGCAAATTTAATTAAAAAGAGAGTTTTTTTTTTTTAACCGAAATTAAGAGAGAGGTTCACTCTTTACTTTTCATACGTAGCTTGGTCCCAAAAAAAAAAAATGACAAAACAATACCATCGGGTACAAAATTTATATTTATTTACCTAACTACGATTTCATAATATCTCTTTTTATTTCTCTCTTTAAAAACATATTCCTCCGATCCTTAATATAAAACTTATTTAACTAATTTGATTAGATTAAAAAAATTAGGTAAGTTAGTTAATTATAATAAAAGTGACACATTTTTTCTAAAACACCATAATCATCTTTATTAATACCTCATCTCCCTCTTCTACTTGATTAT